CATGCAAAGAGAACAAAGTTTTTGAAGCCTTTTACTTTGTTGTTGCAATTATTCCATATTGGATCCGTACTCTTCAGGTAATCAACTGGTTTAACAGATATTTTCCCATGTTCCCATGGTATCAAATCATCAGGGCTAAGGTTGTTTAATGCTTGCAGTGCCTCCGGCGCTTGATCGAAGAGAAAGACGTGATGCATGTGTTTAATGGACTGAAGTACTTCTCAACGGTCATTGCAGTTGCTATGAGAACTGGCAATGATTTGAATATGGGGATGACTTGGAGAAACTTGGCTGCTGTTAGTTCTGTTATTGCAACAATTTCAGGCACGTACTGGGATATAGTATGGGATTGGGGTCTTCTGCGACGAAACTCGAAAAATCCATGGTTGAGAGACAAACTAGTGATATCCAACAAAAGTGTTTACTTTGCAGCAATTGTAAGAACACTACTGGTTGTTTTGGATCTGTTCTTCTATGAAAATCAGCTTGGAATAGGAAACTATGATGCATCTTAGCTGATAATTTTGTTTGGAATCTGGATTGCAGGTACTGAATATCTTGCTACGACTTGCTTGGATGCAATCCGTATTAGGCTTTAGAGAAGCTCCATTCATCCATAGGCAAGCCTTAATTGCGATCGTCGCCGTGTTGGAGATTATTCGACGAGGAATCTGGAATTTCTTCAGGTATGTTCTTCGTTCCTTGAATCATTTCAGGCAGGGAATGGATGTTCTCTTGAAAGGGGTATTTAAACATTATAGAACTAAGTTTTGTGCAACAAAATGGCTGATTATAGAACTCCATGATCAACTTCAACTAGCTTCTGCATTACTCGTGATGATTAAAAGACTTGTGGATTTTTTACTGATCAGGTTGGAGAATGAGCACCTAAACAATGTGGGGAAATACAGGGCATTCGATTCTGTTCCACTTCCTTTCGATTACGACGAGATGGTGCGATGAGAACCCGGTTATGAAGATCAAAAAGATACTGTCTTGACTCATTTTTTTATTCTTATACATGGCTTGGCTTGGTTTTCTTTGTATTTTAGTTCAAATGTAGAAACTAACTGGTTGTCTCATAATATTGAGAGAGGAATAGGTTTAGTCTAGCATGAGAATCTGTAAAAAAGAAAGAAATCTTCCATACAAATGGAGCAGTGTTTTCAAAGCCACCTCAAGGTGACACAAAGGGACCAAAAATGGAATCTCTGTATGGCATGTATTTATGTGGACCTTTTGCAAAGAGTTAGTTTCGTGGGTATAAGAAGGTTGGGTGCTGCGTGTCACACGGTCATGCTTGTTCAAGGCGTGTTGTCTATAGCTGCATGCTCGTTACATGTCAAACCCCTTGCATTATATCCCTTTATTGCTTTCCTTTATCGTTTTCATGATGTATAGTTCTTTTTTTGTATTTCCTAAATGTATAACGTTTTGACAGAATCATGTTACGCCTTGGTAGATCTAAAATGTCTCAAAATGTACTATAGGGAGATGCGACTAGTCATCAATTCTTCCTACCTGGAGTTATATGCTATCGAAGTTGTTGTGTTGCCTTTCTCACTTATAGCCTATAACATTGCTTTTCAACCTCTCTTTCAATCTTGCATTCAAACTTTCTTTCGAAAATCTCTCTGCTCCCGTTTTCTAAAAAACTTTCTTTTCAAACGGGGTCAGAGGTTTGAGCATTTATCGCCAAGTTGTAGGCGACGCAATTTCGAGTTGGCTAACTCATTCGGTGTTGAGAGTGAGTGTCGCACAATCGCTCGTAAACATCTCGAAGGGGTGCAGGTGCAATTGTGACACTACACATTGTGGCGGCGCCTGATTGAAGACGCTCACCTAGGCACTTCAAGAGGCGAACTGACCTCAGGTCGATTTGATTTGATAATTCAAGTTCATATCATCATCAGATGACAAAATAGCTTGTCAATTCTTCACACATTCATGGAACAGAACTTAATTCGGCTACCAGATTGTACATAATTCTATACACTCGACTGTACAGAGTTCCAACAAAAAGCGATGAAAACTCAGTTACACAGTGAGGGAAGAACAAAACTAGTCATCATCTTCATCACCTTTAGGCAAAGAAGCCAAAGAGTTTGAAGGAGAGTTCTCATCAGTCACAGCACCACTACTCTCATCATCCTGACTCTTAAAGAGAGACGAAAATGACAAAGGATTATTGGTGGAGCTTTCTTTCTTTAGGCCACTAATGGCTGTCATTGCAGCAACAATGCTTCTATATAAATCCTCACTTTCCTCCCCAAGATCTGAAGGCGTCTTAGCAGTAACAATTCTCGAGTCATCGAGCATTGGGTTCGGGTCAACTCGCAAGGCCGGTGTAGATTCAACCACTTCTTCTTCCAATGGGAAGAGTAGCTCTAGATTTGCCTCACATTGATGAACCAGGCTTGTGAGAAGTTCTGTTGTAAAGAAAGGTTGACGCACTACAAGTTGCATGTAAGGCAGACGCAACAGTTCACCCGTTCGTTTATCATACTTCTTGAGAATTTTTATTAGCCCTTTAAACCCAAATTTGAAAACAATTCAGTAAAAAAAATGCTTGTGCCACAGCTATAACATGAACCAAAGGCAATATTGATATACAGATTGATTGATGTACTGCTTTACCTGCAAAATTGAGGGAGCTGTAGTTTTTGAGAAGCACCATTCCTCCATGAATGGCAACGAAGTCCTTGCGAATGTTCATCATTTCTTCACTGAATTCATTCTCTGATGTGAAACCACCTCCCCTGCTACTCTTTTCCTTGACATGATCAATTCTTTGCTTCAGCTCCTGCGCCAATTGAACTCGAGTATCGTTATACAGCTACAACTGCTGGAAACCTTTCTGATCTAGACACGAAATATAGCATAGTAAAAATGTAATCAAGAGGTATTCTGTACCATTTTGGCTTTAAAAGAACATAGTTTCAAACTTAGATGCATAACTTGTTTGCTAATCTCAGTAGGATCTTTCTTCCGGAAATGGTTTTCAAATATTAAAATTTGATCTGAAAACAGAAACAACATCGTTCCACTACTCTTAATTGGTACGAGGTTTTTTTGGAAAAACCAAAAGTAAAGTCACGAGAGCTTATGCTCAAAGTGGGCAACATCATACCATTGTGGAGGGTCATGATTTTTAACATGGTATCAAAGTCACGCCCTTAACTTAGTCACGTTAATAGAGTCCTTAAGTGTCGGACAAAGAAGTCGTGAGCTTAGAACGTGTAGTCAAAAGTGACTCAAATGTCGAACAAAGGGTGTACATTGTTCGAGGGCTCTAGAGAAGGAGTCAAACTTCAATTAAGAGAAAGTTGTTCGAGAGTTCTATAGGCTTTAGGGGAGACTCTATGGTATACTTCGTTCGAGAGAAACATCTCATACAACACCCTACAACAATTGCTTGTCAAGGATCTTGTAGGATCTTAATGTCAATTGCTTGTCAAGGATCTTGTAGGATCTTAATGTCCTAAGTGGGATCTACCCACTCTAATGACCACCAAACCAATCCAGCGTCAGAGACATCTAACTTTTAAGCCTTCCCATATGACAAACCTTGATGACATACAACTTTTCAAGCTGCATCTTATTGAAGATCAAACAAAACCCTTCCAGCCTCTTCCAGTGTCTTGTTTGATCATCAGTCAGTACGCACTAACTTAATGTTCATCAAATTGTCATATGACACAGCTTTTAATACCGTCTTCCGTAGTACTCAAGATTATTCAAAAGGTCAAATGCCCCGCGACAAAAGTAATAGCACAGTAAACCCAAATTAAATACACAGATTCCATAAATGTATCATAAAACCAACACAGAAATCCAAGAAGAATCCCCCAAACAAAAAAAAGGAGCAGCAAAAGCAAAAAAAGAACCTGAAACCGAATGACAAACTCTTCCTCTTTATCAACGTAAAAATCATTCAACTTCTCAAGCTCTTCATTGAGAATCCGAACGAACCAATCCTGAAGGTCCGCCAAAGAACCAGCACCAGTCTCACAGCGGACGCGATTGGATTCCAAGGGCGTAGTATCGGCGGGATCGTCGAAGGAAACGGGGTGTTGAAAAGGAGGAAGAAGAAAATTAGGCGAAGGGTCGGTGGGGAGATTGGGGTAGTGTTTGAGAAGCTTCTTGAGGGGTTTGTAACAGAGGAATTTGTCCCTCCACTCGGGGAGCGTCTGTTCCAGATGGGTCTTGAATTCCTTCCCAAATTTCATAGCCGAAAGCTCGAAAGATCGGGGTTGAAGATGGGGAGCAATGGAAATTAAGGAGGAATGAGAAAGGGTTATTGAATTAGCGCTGGTTTAGAGTGAATTAGAGGAGAAATCGGTGGGGCAAGATGGAATCGGGAATAATCGAAAGTGGATGGAGAACAAAAAGATGGAAGATCGAATAAAATTGCTTGTTGTGCCGACGTCTTTGTCAGAATCCATTAATTTATTTTGTCATTGGATCTTATGCTCTCATGTTCTTAATCTAATGATTCAACTTGTGCGTCCCGAATTAATCATAATTTGCTATGTCAAAAGTTTATTATCCTCTAAAGGGGAAAGTGATGCATGATACATTCTCCAGAAATAGGTGGAAACTTTTTCCTAACATACGCGTTTTAAAAACTATGAAATTAATACCGACATGTAATGAACCTAAACGGTTAATATCAACAATGAGTTTGGACTATTACAAATGGTATCAGAGCCTTCAATCACCGAACAGTGCGAGATATTGGTTGGAATAGGGCTAGACTCTCTCCTGGCGTAAGTGTAATTTTTCATTTTATAGTCTTTTCTATTTTTTAATTTTTGTGGGATTTTTAGAAGAAGAAGAAATTATTTGGACATGAAAATAATGCAAATTACCCACAAAAGATTTAAATAAATACTATTATTAATTTGTGATTTTAGTTAATATGAATTTGATATTTGCCATTTTTAAAATTACAAAATTATATTGCCGTCTTTACTAAACATTTCATCACCACCGTTGATTTATGCGCGGTTGATCTTCTTTTGATTAGGGTTGAGCGGGAAGTTCCCCTGCAATGCCCTAATTTCACAGACCGCTGTATTTAAATGCTAGTGCTAAGGTTCTAGCAGCATCGCTCGATATCCAGTGGCTGAAGAGTTTATGCCTGCTTAGCAGAAACGAGGTTCATTCTATACCTAAATTTCGTCAATGTTTCGTGCATCTCTAGTATGCACAGTCGATCTTCATGCCGAGTGTAAATGTCGAAAGTTTCGAGCTTTCTGATTCTGTCATTTCCGTTTCCTTTCTTTGCTTGCTTGGAAAGGGATGAACCATACGAATTTTTTTCGTGTTTTTTTTTTTTTTTTTTTTTTT